CCTACATATCACCGCTACTCCACCAGCCTTGGCTTGAGGCGTGGCGGCTGCTACGAAAGTAAACGACGGGTGTGTCCAGAAGGAATGTGAGGCGTCTAATCTAGTGTCTGAGAGAACTATAATATCGGCAGCCTTCCTGAACCAGTCTTTAACACGCTGTTGTTTAGTGCCGTCTCCTAGGCCGTTGACGTTCAGGCCCGCAAATGTGATGTGGTTTTTCTTACTCATTTAATCACTGCTTGCGAACCCCTACGCATCCACAGGGTGAAAAGACAGGTACCTCTTACTACTGCAAGAACTACAGCCGCTGTTGCTGCGCATCGACCGATGCTCTCCAACTCCTTCAGAAGCCGTACTCTTTCCGGACAATGGTGAGGTTGGCTTTCTCTAACGACACACGAGTAGCAGTTCCGAACTTCTCCAGGTGCAGCATGTGAGCGGCTGAGGCAACATGGTCCGAGGCAGTCATAAAGCTCTTCCCCTTCGCCTTTCCGCATCCGTCTTGAGTACAAACCCACTCCTCCCTGTTGCTTCCAGTCGAGATCAGAGCTATGGCCGGGTCTTGCAGGAGAGGAAGGATAAGCGGGGTGGCTTTCAGGGATTGGGCTGCGAGGTTCACACAAATCGTCAGCAAGAGATAAGCAAGGCAGGTAAGGATCTGTAAGTACTGGACAGCTGAAGGCATTACCGTTGAGCTTGTGCACTTTCCCGAGCGTCAGATTCCATTTACCCACGTTGTGCTGCCTCTCAACCGTGAAGACGTCATGATATTTGTCATGATGCTGACCGTCACACAGGGAGCAGGAGACCGCAGGGTAATGAACCAGGATCTTCTCCGTGCGGTCAGCAGGATCAGGGACCGCATGAATCCAACGGCGACGGTCACCAGGATGCGCATAGACCAAGCCTTTGACGACGTCAGTATCAGCACCGGTAACTGGGTGAAGGACACGGTGGAAATTGGAGCTCCGTGCGAAAGCGGGACGCTTGGTCGAATTCAGCGGGTAGGTTGACATCCGTTCCATCAGCAGGTCAGGGTCAATCACTGCCGACACTCCCTTGAAGATCACCTCAATCGCCTGCGGATGAAATGCCTTCTCACGCGCAAAGAGCACGTTCTCCGTGTGTTGCCAGTGGAGCTTAACCAGGTTCCCATTCAACCGCTGATACACCACCTCCTTCCTCATCACTATTTCCACGTCCCTGTCCAGCAGGAAAGAGATCTGCAGGCGGCAGTAACGAACTTTCGCGATATATGATGGCTGCAGCACCTGAAACTTAGCCGTGGACAAAGCGTTAACTGACAGTTCAGCGTACCACCCACGCTTCATCAGCATTTTAACGGCATCAATCACACAAGCGACTTCCTGACTAAGAATAAAGGGAAGTAGCAGAATAGCCGTAGAGCGCAGCCTGGACTCGTCCTCCTTGTCCGTATCAACCTCCATCTCGTCATCAGTGTCGTCATCATCATAGTCTTCCACAGCATCAGTTGATTGCGGCCTTGACTGATCCATTGTTGCCTTCTCTTCCACAGATAAGCCTGAGGTTCCAGCGACCGGCTCATTGACGACTGTTGCCTCTTCATTGATCCCTCCCTTCGCAGGAACAGCGTCATTGACGGCAGAAGCATCGTCGTTAGCCGTGACAACAGGGGTGTCAACCACGGTCTTGGAGCGCTGGTTCTTCGGCGGCATGGTGCAATGATGAGAAGAAGGCAGACTGAGGAAGTGCCGAGCACTGATGATAGCCTCTGAGAAACGAGCTGCCTGGAAACTGAGCACCCCAGTATTAAGTAGTTGTGTGTCTCCGCCTGGATCCGGTTGGAAACGCTCCTTCGAGAAATGACGAGTTCTCGAGGAGCAAACTTCGGGAGTCCCGCGCACAATAATCTGCATAATAGGCTGAGTCGCTGACATTGTCGATGTTGGCGTTGTGCAGATTAACAAGCAGTGTAGATCCTTGTAAAGCGTTCTTGATGCTGCCTGACAAACACCAGGGTCGGATGCCTTGAAGCTAGAAAGGCCATTGTCAGCAAAAATGACATGGCATCTAGATGTAGAGAAACAGGCGAATCCAGTGGTTACGTTGGTTGTTTGAAAAGACTGCTGTAACGCGGACAATAGATTAGCAGACCGCGATGGAATCCATGACGGCCTTGGTAGCTCCAGATCCAGATCCATCGTGGAGGTCCTTCCAAACGAGCAGTACTTTGTAACCGTCAGGATTCATCGACATCCCACGTCACTAGCTTTGGCAGGGGTACTACTAGCGACCCTGCGCTTTCCAGGGAACTACAGTGCTACTTGCGGGCACTTTCCCGCAGGGTCGCTAGTAGTACCCCCGCGAAAGCTACTTACCCGACTGACACACTCCAGTACAAGCTGATCGGAAGCTTAGACGATATACTACAGAACTACTAAATATAAATAATCGCCTAGTTGGAGTAATTGTTGCAAATTGCTCCTAAGGGCGTGTGTACTAGTGTTCGAAAAGATTCGAACTCGGGTGGTAACTTGATTTCGTGCACCTCGCAAATCAGAGGACTTTTTGAAAAAAAAAGTACCACTTTCGACTTTGACGTGTTCGAATTCTGGATTCCCACCACATTCGAACAGCACCCCGGAGCGTGGTTCGGACTCCAGCTTGTGCGACGTTGCGACGCTCACGACATGCTGATGTGTTTGGTCTAACCCAATCATATTTAGCGTGACGATGACGACACCGTACAAAATTGAAGCGCACGACTACTTGTCCGAACCTTGAAGTCTGTCACTTCTGAGTGCCCAGCCGCGAGATTGAGTAACGAGTATTCGAATTACAATGAGGGCAGTTCGATCTCGAAGTTTACTTCCACAAATCGAGAACTAGTGCACACGCCCTAAGGTTGTAGCTATCACCCCACTTAATTCTGTACTAACCAATATTATGTGTGAAGTATTGTCGGGTGAATGTACAGCACTACTTGCAACCGCATGATATTGCACGGATCGGGAATTCATTACAAAAACTCTGCAGGAGCTCACCCTTCTCCCTGCCCAAAACACCGCAGCAATTCACATCACCTCACTCCCACTCCCACCACATCGCGGAGAGAATGTCTCGCCACCTCCCTCACTACTGACCGTTGATGCTTGTGTTTGGCAAACCGAGGCACATATCGCACCACAGTCGCTGCAGCACCACCACCACTGCCACCGCTCCTCGCTCTCTCAAACCGGAACCGATCCCTGCCTGACCCCCTCGGGGTTACCAGCCCCGATTCACTAAGCTTTTCCACCGATGCGAGCAACCAGGTATCGCTGCTCCTCTCACTGCTCCTGCTGCTGCTACTGCTGCTGCTATGGCTCCTGCTGAACATACTACCGCGGCTGTTGCACTGGTGGTGATTGTTCCTGCTCATAGAAAAGGGCATACAACCCATTGCTGCTGCACAGCCAGGCTGACCCTCAGCCCAATACTGCTGCTGTTGGTCCTCCTCCTCCCCTCCCTGCTTCCCTTCCTGCTCTTGCCCTTCCCAAGCATCTCCCAGCCGCTGCTTCCTCTGCTGCTGCTGCTGCTGCTGCCGTTTGTGCGAATGCTGCTGCTTCTGCTGCCACACCTGCTGTGGATCCTGCTGGGCCAAAGGAGGGGCTGTGAACCCTCCCACCCCACAGAAGCAGCAAGCAGGGGCCATACCAGGGCTCTTGAGCTCTTCCCAATCATCTTCCTCATGCGCAATACACTCCTCCACACCCTTATCCGCCGCACCGCCTTTCACCGCACTCCACTCCACCACACCCCCCTCTACCACACACCTCTCCACCTCACCGCTTTCAACCACACACCCCTCCATCTTCCCCCCCTCTGTCGCACCCTCCTCGCACCCCCTTCCTACCACAGGCCTCTCCCTTTCCAGCCTGCCTGCTGCAAAATAAGAAAGGTGTTCCCAAGTCAGCTCAGGAGTCACTCTGGAGCTACTGGCCACGTTGAAAAAAGCTGGAGTTAGGGTTATCTCAAAATCCCTCAAGTCAGGTGCACTGGCACCATTCCGAGCCTGCAGCTTCGGCTGCCTTGCCTGGTCTGGCTGCTTGTCCTCGGTTTGGAGGTTTTCAAAGGGAGAAAGGCCTCGACGGACACGAAGAGAGGAAGTGGATGATACTAAATTTGAAGTTGAGAAGTCATGGTTGGATGAGGATTGAAGGACACTGCCGCTGAAACTTTTTGAAGGTTTCATCCTGCCGTGGGGTGTAGATGCAACTGATGAGCACTCTACAGTGTCGCGATGATGGTCAAAAGGAGGACTCCAAGAACCGGCCTCACACACCAGAACCCCTGTTGGAGAGAATCCCGATGTTGCTGCTGCTGCTTCTGGATTTTCGCCTGAGATGTTCGGCGAAACCGTTGATGCTGTAACAGGTGAAGTAACGATAACAGGATCCCGTACAATAGAAATAGGAGTTGCGCTGCCGCTGAGATCCGAACTCGCGACCACCACAGGCGCCACGTCAGCTGAGCGCCTGAAAGACGAGCGCAGAGCGGAAAAGAACCGAGGGGTGGAAGGCGGTGGGGGGCTAATGGCGGAAACTGTATTTCCGCCACTCCCCGCACTACCCAACGAGTCACGCGGCCTTTTCGCAAAGTCCTCTTCCGCAAAACCGCGCGCAGTCCGCCAACTGCTTGGAGAGTGCGCCAACGCTGATGCGCTGTCCGCCAGCTCCGCCCCGCTTTGATTGTCCGCCAGCGCCGAAGCTACACTTTCCGCCAGCGCGCCCCACCCCTTTTTAGGTTCGAGGACGAATCCCCTCGGCGTGAGTGCCGGCGTTCGCGTTGGCGTTTTATTCGCACTGGAGATTTCAAATCTCGGAGTTTTAGGCGCTGCAGCATTTGCCCTACTACTTGGCGTTACTGCTTTCCAGCTTCCTCGCCATCGCTTCGCGCCAGCCGCTGCCGCCGCCGCCGTTGCCGCTCGCTCTTCCGCCTCGAGCTCCGCCGCCGCCGCCACTTCCCACAGCGAATCGATGTCCACCGCAGTTTCTTGCGCGCAGCCGCTTAGGCGATCACACTCCGCCAATTCTTCCGCCGCTTCCGCCGTTTCCGCCATCGCCAGCTCCGCCGTTTCCCCCGGCTCTTCCTCCGCCTCCACACATTCCGGTTCCTGCGCCTCTCCGCACGCGGGGATCGCTATCGACATGGCGCGCTTCCACGACGAGGAGCGGGTCGCGCGACAGTCGGCGAGAGAAGCGGCGTGAGTTGCGGCGCGAGTTTCGGCGAGAGAATCGGCTCCTTTGAAAGCAGGCGGAGAGAGTACCAGGCTAACGGCGGAAGGGGCGATGGCGGCGGCGGTGGTGGGGTTGGTGAGCAAGTCAGAATGGTTAGAACGGGCGGAAAACGAGGGGGCGGAGGAAGAGGAGGATGTGTTTCTAGGTAACGAGGAACACGCGGAAACGCCGCTAGATGACGTGGGAGCAGAGGATTGGTTAGTAAAGCAGGCGGATGCGAAGAAAGCGGCGGATGCGGCGGCAGAGTCTTCCAGGGGGGGATCTAACGGCGGAGCGCTGCTAGCTGCGCGAGAGGCGACGGGGGAAGAGGAGGCGGAGCGCTTGTCAGCGGCGGAGGAGGCGGCGGTAGACACGGTGGAGCGGGTGGAGAAAAAACGCGGCGGAAGAAACGCGGAATGGGAAACGCGGAAGGAGAAACGCGGAACGCGGAAACGGGGGCGAAACAGTTTTCCGTTGAAGCAAGCGCCGGTGGGGAAAGTACTCGAATGACCGAACCGACGCCGGCTTTCGCGGCCGCACTCCGTCGATGCTGCTGCCGCCGCGGCTTGCCGGGGGCTTGCGCATGTGACAGGGGAGGCGGCATCGGGGACGACGGTTGATGTCGATACGGCGGAACGACTGCGGTTGGCGCGTTTCGTGACCGATGATGGCAGGAAGGTGAACGCCACGCGTCTCACACGCTCCGCGGCGCGGGCTGTCTTGGTCCATGCGATAGCCGCCGCCATTTTCACTCTCCTGTAACCCTCTCGTCCCGCCTCCTTGAGACGCGCCGCTCGGCTCGTATTTGGACGGTCCAACATTTCGAGCCGCGAGGAAGCACCGTCAATGTGATGTACGAGATGTGGTACTACATCGACTACGAGGAACTATCGGCAGAGATACAAAAGAGTGTACCAGAAACAAATCAGGAGATTCGTCCACCAGAATGTATTAGTACCATTATATGTCCGTCCGGGATTTCAGAAATAACTTAGGTCTCGAATATCGGTCATATTCCTAGGAAACGAATCGTGTGGGTCAATCCAGGTATAATAATCACCGCTCTACAGAATTGGCGAAGGAGAATGAAAAACAATCTGCTACTTTTCCTTCAATCAGCGGTCGTTATTTTGCTTCAGTGTTGGTCCCACGAAACCCTACAATTGCTTGTTCCAGAAGTGTAGAAAATGAGTCCGATGGACATCTCGGAGCGACATTGCTCATCTGCTCCACACTTCACTCCCATGCTTTCTCCCCTTCTTCCCATTTGTGCTTCGAGGGGTTGAACTGTCCAAATGTGCCGCAGAAGCTCTAGACTGCGATGTACAGTGCGAACAACCCCACGCACCATTGTCGAACGGAACCCAGCCCAGCTCCTCGTGCGAATCGCCCCTCCAAACGAATGAGGTGGGGTGGGTCACTGGGGTGGGGTGGGGGGGAGGAGAGCAGCGAATGAGCACATTTCACGGGATGCAGGAGATGAGGCCACTTTGCGTGCTAGCCAAAGCGCGATTGACTGACTTGCGCATCGTGTCGTTGTCGTTGTGGTTCTGTCTGCACTACAGTTATAGATCCACGTCAATCGGAAGAACGAATTAAATCAAGTGGTGCGATACAGTCTCAGCAGTTTTCGCAGGAAAACGGCGCGTGGACTGTTTACTTTTGTGCATGTGCCTTTTGTTTACTTTATTGGATGTCAACAACATCTGACCGAAGGCAACTGTTTTCACTCAGAACTATTCGTCAATTCGTTTATGTATTCCACGAGTCAGCAAACATAAAGTCCGCCAAACAAAGGTATGAGTTACGTTCCAATGAGCCTCACTTGTATCTCTTTCGCTGTATTTTTTAAAACCGCGGTGCAGATATCCGGTGCTCCAGTTCAAAGTATAATAGGTTGAAAGCCGCGTAACCCAGTATACACAGGAAAGCGAGCAGGCAGAGGTTTCTGCCAGCGGGGGAAGGGCGTGCGGAAAAGTGCTTCGCAGTATGATGTGTTGGGGGAAAGCGGGGGAGGGCTTGGGGAAAAGCTCCGCACAACGAGATGAGAGGGAGCGCAGGCAGCAAACTTGAAATTTCAAACTTGAACTCAAAACAACTCAAATCTCACGCTTGAACTAGGTTCCAACTTACTTGAAGTGCGTTTTTAGAGCTCCGCAGAGCCATTTGGCTCAGATTAATCGCGCTTCATCTTCTCTTGATGTGCGCTCGAAAGTCTTTGCTATTTCGTACCTCGTAAACACCTTTTTTCTCGTACCCGAAGCGCATTGCTCTCGTTTTCCTCCGCTGCCGTCCTTCTGTTTTCCCTCTCCCGTCCCTCCATTCCTCACGTATCTGCGGTAGCAAAGGCGCGAAGGTAGCGACAGGCAGGAATGGGTGCGACGGTGGCGAGCAGCGGGGCGACAATAGCGAGCTGCGATGACGACAGTAGCGAGCAGCGGGGCGACGGTAGCTAGCAGCGAGGCGACGATAGCTAGCAGCGAGGCGACGATAGCGAGCTGCGGGGAGACTGTTGCGAGCAGCGGGGCGACGCATCGGTTCGACGGTGGCGAGCGGTGGCAAGTGGCCGACGAAACGGGAGCGAGCAGCATCATGGACCAGGCCCCGCCTCGTCCCCGTCCGTCGGCCTGTCCCCCCTCCAGCCGTCCCTCCTTTCCTTCATTCCGTCCCCGTTACGCCCTTTCTTCCCTCATCTCCCTGTCCCTTCCCTCTCCCACTCCCCCACCCTCACAAGGATTTTTTTCCACCCTTCTATTTCCTCCCCACCCGTCCATCCCCTTCCCCCACCGTCTCTTCCTTTCCCCCTTCTACTGGCCCTCCGATTACCCCACTTCCCTTCCCTATCCAAAGCCCCCCTCATCCAGCCCACTATGCCCGTGCGAGCAGCAGCGACCAGACGCGAGTAGATGCGATGACGGCGGTGCGGGACAATGATGTGGCATTCCCCCCTGCCCATTCCCCATCTCCCCTACACCGCCCCTACCTTTCCCCCTTGCCCTTACCTCACCATTCCCCTCCGGCCCATCCCGTTTCCCACTCTCGTCCCTTCCTTTTCCCCATCTCGCGTCCCATCCTTTCTCCCCCCCGTCCCATCCATTTCACCCTTTTCCATCCCTCCCCCTTTCCCACTGCTCCATCCTCCCCCTTTCACACTGCCCGGGTTGCATGGCTAAGGCGACTACGGGGAGCATCGACGGGCACAATGGCTGCAGGCAGCAAAGGCGCGACGGTAGCAAGCGGCTCGCTCCCTCCAGTCTCTCTCTCGCCGATCCTCCCAATTCTCCCTCCCCTTCCCCACTCCCGTGCACACCCTTTCCGCCACTCCGGTCTCTCCCCTTCCCTTTCATCCGTCACTCCACTTTGCAACTCTCCAACCCCACTGCTGATTCTCTCCCTTGCCCCTATCCTTCACTCCCTTTCCCCCTGTCCTTCTCTCTCTTTCCCCCTATCCTTCTCTTTCTTTCCCCCTGTCCTTCTCTCTCTCTCCCCCTTTCCTTCTCTTCCTTTCCCCCTGTCTTTCTCTCCCTTTCCCCCTATCCTTCTCTACCTTTCCTCCTGTCCTCTCTCATTCCCCCTATCCTTCACTCCCTTTCCCCCTGTCCTTCTCTCCCTTTCCCCCTATCCTTCTCTACCTTTCCCCCTGTCCTTCTCTCTCTTTCCCCCTATCCTTCTATCCCTTTTCTCCTGTCCTTCTCTTTCTTTCCCCCTATCCTTCTCTTCCTTTCCCCCTGTCCTTCTCTCTCTTTCCCCCTATCCTTCTATCCCTTTTCTCCTGTCCTTCTCTTTCTTTCCCCCTATCCTTCTCTTCCTTTCCCCCTATCCTTCTCTCTCTTTCCCCCTATCCTTCTCTTCCTTTCCCCCTGTCCTTCTCTCTCATTCCCCCTATCCGTCTCCCCCTTTTCTCCTGTCCTCCTCTCCGTTTCCCCCTGCCCTTCCCTCCCCACCCTTCCTTCCCCTCTCTTACATCCCTTCCCTTTCCTACTATCCCGTCCCATCATTCAATCTTCTCTCGGCATCCCTTTCCCCCCTCTCCTGTCCCACCCTACATCCTCCGGTCTCATCCCAGCCCACAGCACTGGCAACGCTACCTCAGTTTCCATCCTGCTTCCCCGTCACCCTCCCTTCAATTTCCCTATCAAACATTCTTCCCTAAAACGCATCGTGTCCTTCCCTTCCCTCCTCCCCCCCTCCCCCCCCCCCCCCCCCCCCCCCCCTTCCCCTCCCTCCTTCCTGTAGGTGGACAGCTGCACCAGTAATGGATAGGAGTGTGAGAATCAGCTCTTCTTGGATGTTCCCATGTTGTTTGCCTGCTATCTATCCTTTGCATAATAAAGCTTGCAAGATGCCCTTCTATGGCTTGCAGATCTGAACAGTTTTTTTCGGATTTTCTTCCCACTTAAAATACTAGTCTTCCAAATATAAGGAAAAAATAAACATCATAAGTAGTTATCTTACTCCACTTTGTTGAGACATATGGTTTTTAGTTTTGCAATGTGGTGTTACGGTATTGGCAATATAAGTCTCAGCGAAAGGGGGGATGGACGCATTGATGGGGTCCGATTTCCCGTAGTCGTGTTTGTTTCCCCCTTTCCTCCCCCCCACCCCTTCCCCCGCCCCCCCTTTCCTTTTGAGGTTCGCGACATGCGCCTGAGTTGTTTCCTTTCCTTTTCATCGCAACACAACTTACTCTCTCGCTAGCCAATTGACGACCAGCGCGGAACAAGACAAAAAACTGTTTTATCACTGTTCCTAAGAATGTTGCACCGCGGCTTTAATGTGCGGGCACGACTGATGGACACACGACTTTTGACTGCTGCTTCCCTTTTGTCTGTTCTGCAGTTCTTTCTGGCAGAACACAGTGGCCACAACTGTTCCGTAGCGGGGTGAGTGGGGCGCATTCACAAGAAGGCCGTCAACCGAGAGACACTGGGTTCGGCAGTCAATAAACTTTATTTGTGTTCGAAAACAGTTTGACTGACCTGATTTTCTTGTCACTTCTTGTACAGTCTGACCTGTAGTGCGATTTCTGCCGTGTTGGTCCCACCCACACGACCATTCACGCTTTAGGGGGATTTCCTTCACGATTCACGGAAAATCCGCATCATTTCAGTGCACGATGGAAATCCTTGAACTTCTGTAATGGGAAAAGATCATATTGGGGCCGAACCATAGCAGGGAAGTGACCGAATTAGGGCCGGATAGCCGAACCTGGATTTTTGGAGCTAATAACTGACCTTCCCATAATCGCGTATACGTTTGCACATGTCAGAGGTTCTGACCACCCCGCGCGTCGTAACTGATGGAGAGAAAAGTTTACCTTATGTCGAAATAACTCAGTATTTTCCACTCGTTTGCGCTACCAAGCACTAAACGACGCGACTGGGAACTGTTAAGGCAGGGCAGAAAAATCTAAAACCCTCAGTGAACCTAGATGCATTTTCGGGAGGGATCAACCCTAAACACGGGAACCCGCCTGAAGTTTAGGGTTGATGCCTCCCCGAGTCGCATCCATTGCCAGTTGGGTTATATTTTTTTTGGTCAGGTAAAGTGAAGTAAATGTTCCGGAAAACAATCATGTACTTCTGATCTTAAAAATATAAACACGACGAAACCACCCCCAGAGGAATACGACGCGAGCTTCGTAATAGGCGGCGATCTTAATCTAAAACAAAATATTGAACCAATAAAGTCGAGATTTAGTAACTTCCTTTTAATCTTGGTTCGGAACCTCAGCCCAGCCACCTGGGCAGCCTCGGAGATATATCCAACGGTTGGAATTAACCCGGTCCTAATTCGGTCACTTCCCTGCTAATGTTCGGCCCCAGTTTGATCTTTTCCCTTCTGTAATTGCAGATGCGCCTTCCAAGGAAACAGAGAACTGTCCTTTATTCTGTGCACAGTAAACGCGTACAATTACTGTAACTGCAAGTGGAGTTTAGATTCGGTTCGGGCTCGGAAATGCAACAAGATGCCACCCTGTACAGTAAATCATGAACAAACCAAGAGGCGCTTGTAGCCCTTCTCTTGCTTCCATACCGCCGATTCTTTTCCTGCATGAAACACCCTAAACAATAAGTGCATCTCGTGTTTTAGTTTACAGTGCGTTGCGTACTCACATAAGACTCCAGCTTGTAGTCCTGCATGATGGTCAGATTTACTCTTGAAACGTAACTGCTTTGCATGTGCAAACAAGCTGTTCACCAGGGCTCAGGTTTGTAGTGTAATTTACCCTTCTGTATTGATTACAAGGGTGAAATTTTGGGTCTACACTGATGTGCTGGGGTAATTTTTTTATGAGTTAGTGTTACACTGATCTGTAAGTGTATCGACGTAGGCCACACTGATGCCTTGGGGTAAATTCTACCTTAGCGCATATTACACCGAAAAGCGTACAGGGACCCCCCCCTCCCCCCCCCCCCCCCCCCCCCCTCCCCCTCTTCCCCGAAATTTGTCAGATCGTGAATTCCGATAATCATGCAAGTACCGAGGATTTTTTCTGTGCAGTACGAACATTGGCCGCAGTGACGTGTCCGATTGGTCTGTTAGGGCGTGTGCACTAGGGGTTCGAACTTGTGTCTAAGTTCGAACATTTAGAGAGGTACTACTCGTTACGATACTACTGAGAGATGTTTCGTCACGGTGCAAAGCGGTTGATGTTCGAACTTTGACACATTTCGCCAAAAGACACACGCCCTCAGGAATGATTCCCTTGCCAGCATGCCACGAAACCGAACCTAGGTGTTACCTGTAATAGTTTAGGACTTTGCGAACATTTGTCAGTGTTTTAAAAAAAACCACACTGATGATGCAGGGTTAAAAATTCAAAACCTGATGTTACACTGCTCAATCAGTGTAACGAAAAAGTACACACTGCCCATAAGGGTTTTTGAAAAAGCTACACTGCCAATCGTGAGTAGGCCAAATCCAAACCTGAGCCCTGCTGTTCACCATAACAAACACTAATATATGAGGACACCCAGGATGTAATCCTTTCACACCAATCTTTGAGTATGGCCACGCAGATGCAGCGTGCATCTCAACATACTAATTGTAAAAGAAAAACACGAAGCACGCTGTCAGTGTCACAAAAACACACCACACTACTATGCCTATTAACTGTATGCGTCCTCCATGGTTCATGATCGAATAGCACTGCACTACTTCTCCTCGACCTGCAGCGGTTGAAACCAAGTAAATAAAGGAGTTGGTGGCATATCAGCAACATCTCATACGAGAGACATATCACCTCAACCACACCAGGCTCACAGGTGCGGAGCCAACATCACAAATGCTAAGCTAGAGCCCATAAGAAGCATAAGGGTGATCGTCAATCATCCAGCAATCGCACCAGCCTCACCTGCAGCAGATATGTGAGCTCCATGACAGCCTCCTTGACCTCCTGTTTTCCCTCCAGCCTCCACTCATGGTTTGTTTTCGTACCAACCATAACTCATGAAATCCAACGAACTCCATTTCCAATCAGCTGAGAGAGAGATTAAACAGCAATCATTCAGCCAACACAGCACATCCTCACCTGCGGCAGGCTCATGAGCTCCATGACAGCCTCTTTCGGCTCCAGCTTTCCCTCCAGAATCCGAGCAACAGCCGTGAGCACGGGCATCTGAACGCGGTACTTGCGCGCGAGGGAGATGACGGCGCCAGAGGTGGCGACGCCCTCGGCGACCTGGGTCATGGAGGAGAGGATGTCCTCCAGCTTCTCGCCCGACCCCAGGCGCACACCCACCGTGCGGTTGCGGGAGAGGGACACAAAGCACGTCAGCATGATGTCCCCCGTGCCACTCAGGCCTGCGAGTGTGGTGGGTTTAGCTCCCATCTGCGTTGTTTTTGGAAGGGGAATGGGGAAGGAGGGGGGGTGTGAAGTGGTGAACAGAGGCAGAGGCCTGTGGCACCTCCTGGGAGCTCCTCAGCTGGCCCCTCTGCCAGAGGTGGCGACGCCCTCGGCGACCTGGGTCATGGAGGAGAGGATGTCTTCGAGCCTCTCACCCGACCCCAGGCGCACGCCCACCGTGCGGTTGCGGGAGAGGGACACAAAGCACGTCAGCATGATGTCTCCGGTGCCGCTCAGGCCGGCCAGCGTGGTGGGCTTGGCGCCCATCTGTGGTGTTGGAGGTGGGTGGGGTGGGTGGGATGGGGTGGAGGGGAGGGAGGCTCACAAAGCACGTCAGCATGATGTTGCCCGTGCCGCTCAGCCCAGCGAGGGTGGTGGGCTTGGCGCCCATCTGGCGGTATCGTTGGGGGGGGGGGGGGGGGTAATGTGGTTCGGGGGAAGGGAGGAATAGTCTTGGGAAAGGAATAATCATGCGCTGGTGGCACGGCACGTCAGCAAGGTTTCAGAGAGGCTGACATGAAAATGCATGCATCCTTCCATGCACATCTCCCACACACATCTTCCATGAATGCCTACATCCGTCCATCCCACATCCTTCCACCCGCACACACATCCTGGGTCTCACCTTCTCTGCAAGCCACCGGATCTCAGAGCATCCCTGGGCCACCACAGCAGCCATGCAGTTGCTCCCCATCTGCATGCCCTCCACTATCCCCGCTGCTATCGCCAGCACGTTCTTCAGCGCGCCCGCCATCTCCACCCCCACCACGTCGCTGAGTGATGAATAGGTGGGGGGTGTGGCGATGAATAGGTATAGGTGGGGGAGAGGCATAAGGAATGGGGGTAGGGATAGGAATGAAGCAGGGAAACAGGTGAGACCGAGATCATCATGTCAACTATAAGTGTGATGTGCACGGGAATGAAGCATGGGTGCATGAATAGACGGATATGCATGCACACATGAGGAACATAGATGGATACACTAACATACATGGTAAGTCATGCACAGATAATACTAGATAGTGGAGCATAGCTAGGAACAGACATGGATATGCGTGCACACATAAACGACATTCATAGATATAACAAACCAACACACATGCGGAATCTACATGGGCATGCATGTGCAGTGCACGTACGTGGTGGTGTTGACTCGCAGGGTTTTCGACGCAAGAAGCTTCTGCGCCCTCTTAGCCAGAGCCAGGTCCTTGCTGGCCGCGACCAGGGCTGAAGAGAAGGGCAAAACAAGGGAGATGGGAAGGGAAGGGGGAAGGAAATTGGTTACAAGCTGAGCACGCCAGCAGCTGCTGCGCCCTCTTAGCCAGAGCCAGGTCCTTGCTGGCCGCCACCAGGGCTGAAGGGAGAGCGAGGGGAGAGAGATGGAGACGGGGAAGGATTAGGTGAAGAGATGGGAGGGGGGAGAGGGAGGGGGAGAGGTTTGGGGCACCTAGAGGCACGCCAGCAGCTGCTGCGCCCTCTTAGCCAGAGGCAGGTCCTTGCTGGCCGCTACCAGTGCTGGTGACGGGAGAGGGGGCGAAGGGAAGGGCGGAAAAAGGGGGGAGGAGGGGATGGGGACGGGGGGAGCGATACAAGCTGAACACGGCAGCAGCTGCGGTGCCTTCTTGGCTAGAGCGGGACCCTTGCTGGGCGCGAACAGGGCTGATGGGTAGGCGAGGAGAAAGATGGAGAGCAGGAGATGAGAGACTTGCGGCCCAGTCCCTTGGTCACTGAGTGAATGAGTGAGCGACTGACAGACAACCTGATTGGCTGACTGACTGATTGACTCACTGACTGACTGATTGACTGACCGCCTGACTGACTGACTGACTAACTGACTGACTGACTGACTGACTGACTGACTGATAGACTGAATGAATAACTGACTGACTGAACAGACTGATCAATTGACTGACTGCCTAACTGCGTGACAGCCACCCTTACCCTGCAGGAGCCCCAGCAGCACTCATTGGTGGGCAGCTCTCTAATGACCTCGACAGCGAAGGTGGGTCTTGAGATGATCACTTAATCTACTCACTGATTTGCCTGACACTGCCTGAAAGGCATCACCCTGACCCTTCTGGCACCCCAGCAGCAGCACTCACCAGTTGGCAGCTCGCGAATGATCTCGACAGCGAAGGTGGGTCCCGAGAGAATCACGACGGGCTGGCGGGGGTTGCCGAGGCCACGAGGAATGACCTCTGTCATCATCTCCATGGTGCCCAGCTCCAGCCCCTTGGAGAGAGACCATATGCATGGCGCCTACCTACCTCCCTCCCTCAAGGCTGACTGTGGGCCCTGAATTGCCTCCCCACTCATCTGCGCTCACCGGTGGGCAGCTCGCGGATGATTTCCACGGCGAAGGTCGGTCCTGAGAGGATGACGACGGGCTGGCGGGGGTTGCCAAGGCCACGAGGAATGACCTCCGTCATCATCTCCATGGTGCCCAGCTCCAAGCCCTTGCTCACACACAGGATGGGCAGCGTCGGTGGCACGTACGCTGCTATGGACTGCAGGAAGGCGGCACTAGGCTGTGAGAAGGGAGAGGTGGAGAGGGAGATGGGAGAGGAAGGAGGGGGGAGCGAGGGAGAAGAGGAATGGGAGAAGGAGAGAGAGGGGGAAAGGTTAGGGCGAGAGGATTGGTAGTGGAACTCTGATCGGGGCACAGGGGATGACCTCCGTCATCATCTCCATGGTTCCCAGCTCCAGCCCCTTGCTCACACACAGGATGGGCAGTGTGGGGGGGACGTACGCTGCTATCGACTGCAGAAACGCAGCACTGGGCTGCAGGAATGGGAGGACGGGTGGAGGGTTGGGAGAGGGAGAGAGAGGAGAGGGAGGCTTAGGTGCGAGGGTTGCTCGCTGATTCTGTTTAGAGTGCGTCATGGTGAGTCATTATCTCCATGGTGCCCAGCTCCAGCCCCTTGCTCACACACAGGATGGGCAGCGTGGGGGGGACGTACGCTGCTATGGACTGCAGAAAGGCTGCGCTGGGCTGCAGAAATGGGAGGACGGACGGAGGGGTGGGAGAGAGGGGCGAGGCAGCGAGGGGAGAGGAGGACCAAGGCGAGAGGGTTGGTGGTGAAACTCTGACTGCGGCGCGTTGAGTCATCCTCTGGTGTTCCCTGGCCTGCGCGGGATGACCTGAGTGATCATCTCCATGGTTCCCAGCTCCAAGCCCTTGCTCACACACAGGATGGGCAGCGTCGGTGGCACGTACTCTGCTATCGACTGCAGAAACGCGGCACTGGGCTGTAGGCACGGAGAGATGGGGGTGGGAGACGGAGGAGGGAGGGGAAGGTGAGGGTTGAGAGGGAGTAGGTGGGTGAGGGAGCGGGAGAGAGGAGCGGGAGAGAGGAGAGGGGAGAGGGGGGCGAGGGCGAGAGGGTTGCGAATGGAACTCTTTTGAAGGGGCGTTTTGTCGTCATATTTATCGCGCCCAGATTCTCGAGTCTGACTCAGGACGAGGATTGAGACTGAATCAAGACCTGGAACTCTTTTGGGGGTGCGTTGTGTTGTGTGTAATCATCTCCATCATGCCCAGCTCCAGCCCCTTGCTGACCATGGGTTGACTGTCCTGAGTGTTGGATTAAGAGTCGCAATTTCAGGATACATGTTTCCCCCTATCCTCCCGCACCTGCATGGGAATGGTGTGGATGGCATACTGCACGTATTTAGTCCGCATAAACACACCTACCCCCGAAACTCCCCCCTCCCACCCAATCTTCCTCTTCCCCCGCACCGCACCTGCACGGGGATGGCGTGGAGGGCGTACTGCGCGCCCGAGATGGCCTCCCTGGGGTCCGTGGTGGCGCGCACGTTGTTGGGGAGGATGATGCCCGGATGGCACGCGCTGGAGTTAAAAGAAGGGGAAGGAGGAGAGGGAGGGAGGAAGGGAGGGAGGAAGGGAGGGAGGAAGGGAGGGAGGGGGTAAGAATGAACCCTGCACGGGCGGATGGTCGGTGGTGGCATGCACGGTGTCCAACAAGATGATGCCCGGCCCGGATGCCACCCGCTGGGGGAAGAAGGGGGAGGGGAAGGGAGGGGGGAAGGGGGGGGGAAGGGGAGGGGGAGGGAGGCAGGGAGGGGTAGGGACGACTGTTGCAGGGGGGAGGTGCGGACATGCCTGGCGGGAATGCCTGAATGGCATGCGCTGAGGGAAAACGAAAGTATGGGGGAGAGAGTCGGGGAGGTGGGGGGGAAGGTATGAGAAAGCGAGGAGGTGGTGGAATAGCTGGTGTGTGGGGCGGGCTGTAAGAGGAAAGCGAGACATGGACGAGAAAAGAAGACAGTTTTGGGGCGGAGAAACGGAGCATGTTCGGGGACAGAAAGGGACGCCTTGGTTTGAACCCGCCTCAGCCTCAGAAGGTGGCAACTCGGCTACTGATGCGCCTTGAAACGCGGCAAGTCAGCTGCAATGGACGAAAGGGAACGCCAGGCAGACGAGGGAAAGTAGACCACGCATGAGAGAGCCAGACAGCGGTGCGCAGCAGGCAAGCGACGTGCATTGAGACGTTTCAAAAACTCACAACTCCATAACGAGGGATCAGTTCGCAGGCTGTAGCAGGCAGGCATCGTTGCGCGCATGCATCGTTGTGCGCAGACCATCTTCAGTGGACGAGGAACGCGCGGACGGTGAAATGTCTTGTCGAGAGAGCGGGTAATGCTGGTTAAGATGCGCGTTTGTTTGTACCTGTTACAGTGCAGCTCGTTAATGTTCTTGCAGTCCTCCTCGAAGCGGTGTAGAATCACCACGTCCAGCTCCGCATCGTTCCGCGCCAGCATGTGCGCCAGCGCCGTCCCGAACGCCCCCCCGCCGAAGATAACCACCTGGCGAAAAATAAAACACGGAGACGAAACGAAGCAGAATGGGGGGAAACGGAGGCGGAAAAGAGGGTGGGGTTGGGGGGGGGGAACGGGGGGGGATGGGATGTGGAGAAGCAAAAAGAAGGAGAGGCAACAACAGCATGGGGTTGAGACTTACGAAAAGGAGTCAAGGCTCAAAGTCCGCATTGTGGGCGCGAGCAAGTAAACAGTAAGCTTACAAGAGTTACTTCAAGTGTTTCGCTCTGTGTTTCACATACTTCACACCAGGTGTGACTTTTTTCGTGCGGCATATACATGGCGCTGCTCTGACGTGGTATTGTGTGAGATGGAGCCACAACAATGCTTCTGAACGCCTCGTCATGTGCTAATGCACTACACACTTCTTCAGTCTTTTCCAGAAACGATCTCACACTTGGTTTCTTCTTCAGGCCATTCACAGCTTTGTAGGTTTCTTCCTTCCCAGCAAGCTTCACACATCGAGCGTTCCTTTTACGTCTTCGAATATTTCGTTGAAACCAGGATCAGTGAAATCACAAGAAAACTATAACCTCCCACTCTGTCTTTGAGCGCGATATTTTCGTGCATTCGAAAGTCGGAGGCGGAACCAAAACTCTTCCCTTCAAGACCTGTCATTCGCAAGAAGTTTCACACATTGGAGACATGCCTGTATTGGTTACATTGTAACAAGGCGACGAACTCTCACCTTGGTGGTTTCCTCGTCAGCGTTACTGGTTTCCTTCACCCGCAGAACTTGCCCCACCGCATGAGCGCCTCCCACGCGTTCATCAGCGCGCCGAGCGGAATGTTCGCCGCAGCCTTTTAAGGCGCTTCAAAACACTCTTCACACATTGGAGGTTAGATTCATGACTGTATCTTACCTTGGTGGTCTTCTCGTCAGCGCCGTTGGTTTCCTTCCCTCGCCAGAACTTGCCCCACCGCATGAGCGCCTCCCACGCGTTCTCCACCTCCGTGGCCTCCGCTTCGTTCATCAGCGCGCCGACCGAAATGTTCGCCGAAGCCTTCTCCTTGTCCTGTGCGATCGACGCGGAGTCCGGTCGGTTCGTCGCGCCTGCGCTCACCGCGTGAGATATCCGTTGCTCAGGCGAGGAGGAGAACGAAGAGGAGGACGAGGACGAGGAGGAGGACGAGGACGAGGAGGAGGGGGAGGAGCCGTGCTGGTGTTTATGCTGGCGGTCTCCCGTGCCTGCCGCTCCATGGCGGCCGGCATTTGCGCTGACACTCACGCGACCGATTCTCCTGCTCGTCCGGCTTTTGTTGATTGGCGACACATTCAGGAGCTTAGATTCTGAGCAGACTTGGTTCGATGAGCTTGATAGTAGTTGCAAGTTGCACTTCTGGAAGGAGGTCGCCGGTTTTGAGACTGTGACACGGGATTGCTGATGCAAAGCTCCTGGTAACGCATTTGCAGGAAGAATCACAGCTGCACGCGCTGTTCCGTTCTCCATCTCGGATGTCGATAGTGAAGGTATTAGAAAAATCCGAATCAAATGCAGACTTGAAAGTTCTCGGAAACTATACGTAGGAATGAGGGTGAATGTTTGAGTCTACCGTGGACAAGCGTCCGCCTCGAGAGTCACTTGTAAATTCGCCTGGATTGAGAATGACTTGATCCTGCTACGAGATTCTAGAATTCGACGAGCTGCACGGGCTTTTAGTTCCTGCTTGACTTACAGTTGGTCAGTCCGTCCAAAATCTGCTTCAGTCTGGACGATATTTACAATCTCACGAGCAGCCATTCAACAGCATTGCTTTCTCGGGACCTCCGTCTTCTCAGGTACTCCAAGTCGAGACCATTAGAGTAGAGTAGACACAGTTTATGATATTGATTGAGCCTGAATTCACTGGATGATCCATTCTCCTAGTGGCTGGTTCAGATCTCCGGCATTCCCAAGGCCCTCTGATTAGTGTTCTGCTGGGTCTCTGGATTGGTGATGCTTCACGGCCTGCATGGCGAAAGAGTTGACGAGTGTCGTTGAGCTGGTTTCCCGTGAAGAGCTTCGTGAAGACCGCTGGCGATGGAGTTTGATGTGTAACAGTTGCGCCTAGCTGTCAACTACCTGCGTCCAATAACAGGCCTGACGATGCCAGGTCAGATCGGATCGAGGCGCAAATCACAAGTCAATAAGGTCAGGACACCTGTTATCGCGATTGGTCTCAGGATGAGGCTTGTCCAGGCGCTGCGGGGAGGGAAAGGTGCCGAATTCACGGCGAAAAAAGCAATCCGATTTGCTGAGTGTGTGAAGCTTCCCGTGCTGGATAGCCAACCACGTGTGTACCTACGTGGCTCCAGTAGTCAAAAGCCGCCTTCTCACAACCTGCGCGAAATGTCCGGAGAGGCTACCAAGGCACGTGAAACCGCCAGCAATGCGAACTGTAGGGGTTTTCAGCTTAGCGGGGACAGGTATCCCGACCCCTCCGCTTTCAGGGGACGGGTTCCGCATCCTGCGCACAGTTTCCGCAAAAGGCTGGGCAAGGGGGGGACAGTTATCGTTCAGGTAAGGGACTCGAGCTCTCAATGAGCCACGTGTTTCATCCTTCACAGCTCGCTTACTGTACACACGCAATCACAGATTCTGCACTGCGCGTGCTTGTCTTTTCCACCGAATCCAGCCCACGTTCGGGGCGGCTGGTCAAACCGCTGTTCCCAAACCTGTATATTGCACCCGACACCCTGAGAAAATGTGGGAATATATATTGCATCCCCTGACCCGAAAAAACTAAAACCCAATCCGAAAGGGATTCGACTCGGGGAGGATCAACCCTAAAATCAATGCCCTTTCCCGTGTTTAGGGTTGATCCCTCCCAAAAATGCGTCAAGGTTCCCTAGGGGTTTTTTTTTTATGCCCTGCCCTTATTGTTCCCGGTAGAGTCGTTTAGCGCCGCTAGCGCAAATGGGCTAACTAAACGACTCTTCTGCGTGAAATATTTTGGGTCGAAACGACAAGCCAGAGCAGTAGGGAATCTGTGATTTAACACGGGTAAGTAGCTTTGGCAGGGGTACTACTAGCGACCCTGCGCTTTGAAGGGGACTACAGTGCCAGTAGCGGGCACTTTCCACCCCTCCGTGCCTCAGACAGGGAAGTTATAGAAACAAGACAGTACTCTTCCCCATATTCACCCACGTGTCACCAATTTCCATGCCACCAACTGTACTGGACATTCTGACCAACTGTGCGCAACAGACTTTTGTCCCTTCTGCCGAATCGAAACCAATCGGACCGCGGGCAAAAAATATAAACCCCAATCGGACTGCATGCCATTCGGGAGCCTCAACCCTAAAATTTTAGGGTTGATGCCTCCCGAATTGCATGCCTTCCATGTGGGGTTTATTTTTTTACTTGTCCGCTGACGCAGGCCTGTGTTCCGAAATTTTGGGCGCGAAACAGTAGCCTATCAGATTTCGGAACAGTGTGGCAGCCGAGCCACCCAGAGTGTGGTTTCGATTTGGCAGAAGGGACAAAAGTCTGTTTCGCACAGTTGGTCAGAATGTCCAGTACAGTAGGTGGCATGGAAATTGGTGACACGTGGGTGAATGTGGGGAAGAGTAGTGTCCTGTTTCTATAACTTCACTGTCTGAGGCACGGAGGGGTGGAAAGTGCCCGCTACTGGGCATGTAGTCCCCTTCAAAGCGCAGGTTCGCTAGTAGTACCCCTGCCAAAGCTACTTACCCATTTAACACCTACAGTGAGCTCTCTGTGAAAAGTGAGACACGTGGCTCATTGAGAGCTCGAGTCCCTAACCTGAACGATAACTGTCCCCCCCTAGCCCAGCCTTTTGCGGAAACTGTCCGCAGGAAGCGAAACCCGGTCCCTGAAAGCGGAGGGGTCAGGATACCTGTCCCCGCTAAGCTGAAAACCCGAACTGTAGTGCGATCCCACCCGTGCGAATCCAAGCTCACAAACAGCAATCGTATGACATGGAAACGTTAACTTCTATCTGTGTACACAATCATACACCCACTTCTCGGATTGGTTTGCTAACGAGTTTGCTACAATGGAGGGTTAGACTGCGGTGGAATTCAGTAGCACCTGTCGACAAAGCACCATATGTACGCCACGTGCTGATCATGAGCACAAGTAGACAGGTCACCGACTCACTGCCCCCAAAACACCTAGAATTACATGCAGCATAGCGTTCCTCGCGCCGCATTTCCCAGCCCTCTGAACGGGCGACAGATTCTCCGCTGGCCAATATGGTGCGACGCGGGAATTCAGGCTCGCAGGCTTGCTCCAAATACGTTTCCTCGTTTCATGACACTCGTTCCTTCTCTTCAATTTCCGATCGCTCGATAATATTTCTGCAAGCATATCCGAGATTCTCGATACACCTCTACCAGCTATTGCTTGCTTCATCACAGCATAGTACGCAGCGTGTCCCACGACCTTTTCGCGAATCTAATCCTGATGGCGTCCCAGCAGCAGCAGCGATTCGAAGTGAAGGTTTCTGGCCAGGCATGGACCGTTTTCGCCCTCGCTCTTTCACTCTCCGTCTTTCGATCCCGCGATTATTATGGTCCCGCCTTCCCTGTGCCGTCTGCGGCTTTCCTCGGTCGAGCCCCCTCTCCATCCCGCTTTCTTTCCCGCTCATGTGTTTTAGAACCTCCTGTTTCAACTTACGCTGTGACAACTGTAACAACTTTGCTCTCGTGCCTCTCCCTCTTGCTTTCTTTCCACCTGGTGGCTTCGACTTTGAAGTTTTGGGACATCTTACAAGCCCTTGTGCCCGCCCCTCTTGCTTGTGCGTGCAGGGTGAAAGCCAGGGCCAGGACCCGAAGATGGTGGATCCAGGGACGAATTTGAGACTTCTTACAAGCCCTTGTGCCCGCCCCTCTTGCTTGTGCGTGCAGGGCGAGGGCCAGGCCCAGGAACCTAAGATGGTGGCTTCAGGGACGATTCAACCCGAGTCAACGGAGATGTTTTCCGGTCAACCCAGTCAGCCGTATGGTCAGCAGTACGGTCAACCCAGTCAGACGTACGGTCATCCCAGTCAGCAGTACGGTCAGCAGCAGTCCGCGCAGCAGCCCGGTCAACTTGGTCAACAGTACCGTCAGCCATACAGTCAGCCGTACGCTCAGCCCTTCCACCCTTCTGGCGAGGAAGAACTGCCACTTCACGCAGGCGGAACTATGAGGTCGCACGAAACGCCACATGTAACGCCACATGTAACGCCTCGTGAAGCGCTGCATGAAACGGCAGCAGGCGAAGGACGAGGAGGCACGGGAGTGGGAGTGACCCCACATGAAACGTCCTCAACCATAAGGTATGCTGCTCGCATGGATGCTCGCCGCTGTGGTCAGCTCGGATTTGCTGCGGTATGCTGTGGTCAGCTCTCGTGTGTTTCGGTTTGTTGCGGAGAGCTCTGGTATCCTTCTGAGAACTCTCTGGCGTGCCGCCGTATGGTGCGGTCAGCTCCGATATGCTCTGGTCAGTTGCTGTCAGCATTGGACAGCTCTGCGACGACTTTTGAGTCGACTCCTAAGTCGACGCGGTATGGTGCGGTCAGCTCCGATATGCTCTGGTCAGTTGCTGTCAGCATTGGACAGCTCTGCGACGACTTTTGAGTCGACTCCTAAGTCGACGCGGTATGGTGCGGTCAGCTCCGATATGCTCTGGTCAGTTGCTGTCAGCCTTGGACAGCTCTGCGACGCCCTGCATGCTACCACGATCAATCTTTATCTTAAAAGTTGCTGCTGGCTCTTCCCTGTTCCCCCCCGCCCCCCCCCTCCGGGCCTCCCTTCTCCACTTCTACACTGTAGTTTGTTAATTTCCTTTTGTCTGCTGCTGCTCCATCCCTCTTCTTGCAACAATTCACAGCCCCACTGGGATACCTGAGGATGTGTCTAGCACGCATGGCCTGGAGAGGAGCCTAGGAATTGCTGAAGGCGTGAAATTAGCCCACGCCTACCCTGCAGCCTTCTAAATCGTCCCTTGCTCCCTTACTCCCAACCATTCCCAGCCCCACTGGGATGCCTGAGGACATGTCTCTCACGCATGGGCTAGAGAGGAGCCCGGAATTTGGGAGGCGTGGGCCAGGAATCAGCCCAGAGATTGGGACGCATGGGACGCATGGGCAGGAAGTTAGCTCGGAAATTGGAAAGCGTGGGCCTGGGCGTGGATATGCGGCATCAGCTGAGGAGGAGTCTGGGCCGGGATGGGCGCAAGGACAGGGCGTGAGGGGCATTGGGGAGGGAGGGGCGGGGACTGGACGGGCCGGTAGCGGCGTGGGGGCGGTTGAGCGGGCGTTGGCGGAAATGGAAGGGAAAGGTGCGCCGACAGGGGAAGATGCGCCTGCAGGGGAACGTGGGGGGGTGATAGGAAGGGGTGTAATGGAAGGTCGTGGAATGGAGGGGCGTGGAATTAGGGATGTTGGGACAGAGCAGCGTGGGATGGGAAGCAGTGGGATGGGAGGGATTGGGATGGGTCAGACCATGGGGGTCGGGCAGTTTGAACACGGGAGGGAGAGGGCGAGGGAGGTGGCGGAGGAAGGGGAGGGTGTGCTGAAGGGGGGTTATGGGCAGGTGAAGGTCGGTGCGGGGAAGGCTGTGGAAGGGGCTGAAGGGATGGTGACTAAAACGGGCGAGCAGGGCATGAGGATGGGGCAGGGTGTGATTGAAACGGGGGAGAGTATGGTGAAGATGGGCCTGAGTGCTGCTGAACGTGCTGCAGAGACGGGCGTGGGTGTGGCTAAGGGGGTTGCGGGTACAGGGTTTACGGTTGCTGAAAGTGCATTCGAAACTGGGAAGGGTTTAGGGGAGAAGGCTCTGGAAACCGGGAAGGAAGTGGGGGGGAGAGTGGCGGAGACGGCAGGGAGGTGGGTTCCTGGAATGCCGTTTGGGGAGCAGGGGGAGGAGAGGACAGGAGAGGCGTTTGAGAGGGGGAAGGAGAATGTGAGGAGTGTGGGAGAGAGGGTAGAGGAGGGGGTGAAGGGGGTGGTTGGGACTGGGGTTAGGACTGCTGCGACTGCTGGGAGGTGGGTGACTGGTGTGGGAAGGCCAGGTAGAAGTGAGGAGGAGGGGAGAGGCGGGGCGAGTGGAGGGAAAGGTGGTGTGAGTGAGATGGGAGGAACTGGTGGGGAGGGGCAGGAGGAGGGGGCATACGAGAGGGGTAAAGAGGCTTTGAAGGGAGGGCTGGGGCAGGTGGAGGGGCAGGTGAGGGGGATGGTTGGCCTGGGCTCTTGTGGTGGTGCTGGGGTGAGTACTGGTGGTGAGGCTGCTGGTAGGGAGAGTGGCGGTGGGGTTGGTATGATGGGTGTTGGAGGAGGGGTTGGAAGCGGTGAGAGTGGGTGGGGAGGGGCGGGAGAGCGAGGCGAGCAGGCTGAGCGCGAAATGCGGGCGAAGGAGCGAGAGATTCGTCAATCCGGCCGCCCAGAAATGACTGCAACAACAGGGAAAGACACCTTCCCGCAGAAAGCCTACGAAGCAGCACAGGAGGGGGCGGAGATCACGAGGCAGCAGGCAGGGGAGATGGCCGGTCAAGCAGGGGAGATGGCCGGTCAAGCAGGGGAGATGGCCGGTCAAGCAGGGGAGGTGGCCGGGCGTGTGCCGGAGAAGGGGAAGGAGCTGGGGGAGAAGGCGATGGAGGTGGTGCAGGAAGCAGGGCAGGTGGGGATGCAGCAAGCCAAGGAGGCGGGTTCGGTTGCTAGTCAGGTGATTCGCCAGGCGTATCGCAAGTGGATGGGTGCTGTGGAGGAGGAGGGCGAGGAGGAGGAGGAAGAGGAGGGGAAGGCAGTGGGAATGGAAGGTGTGGGGGCGGCAGGAGAGGGAGGAGGTGGTGCTATGGAGGGAGTCACAGGAACGCTTGCAGCCGGGTAAATGATCGTTCTGAGACATGATTGTGAATAACCTGCTTGTTTCTTTCTGCTTGAACCTTTTGGTTCTACGTTTCTTCGAATTCCTTCCCCATGTACTCCCCATGCTGAAGCTGAATATTTCTTGGTGGGGCAGAGAATGAAGCTGAAGCTGAATGATTCGGGGGCGGGGGTCCAGTCATACATTCCACAGCACCTTGCCGCTTAGCTGCACAAGCAGGGCTGTAGACAGAACAGTTCCTATTACCACCAACTCCTCCGTCAAATATGTTTCTCTGGCCCTCCCATTCCATACCCACACCAGCTACCGCCAGGCAAAGCAGGCAGCGCAAGCAGGGCTGGAGACAGGGCAGCAGCTAGCTGGCGGGTGGAGCAGTGGAGCGTGGTCTTCGGTTCAAGTCATTTATTAATCACAGCACTGTATCCCCACTCTGCCCACACCAGCTACCGGCAGGCAAAGCAGGCAGCGCAAGCAGGGCTGGAGACAGGCCAGCAGGTGGCGGGTGGAGCAGTGGAGCGTGGTCTTCGGTTCAAGTCATTTATTAATCACAGCACTGTATCCCCACTCTGCCCACACCAGCTACCGCCAGGCAAAGCAGGCAGCGCAAGCAGGGCTGGAGACAGGGCAGCAGGTGGCAGGTGGAGCAGTGGAGCGAGCCAAGCACCTCGCTGCTCCCGTGATTCCTGGTCTCAAGTCATCTACAACTTACAAGGGAGGCCCAGGAATGCAAACCCGTGCAGCTGCTGGTGTTGGGGGTGCTGGGGGTGAGAGGGGTGTGGTGGAGCGAGAGGGTTCTGCGTATGAGGCAGGAAAGGAGTATGTGAAACGGACCCTTGGAGGGATTGCGGGAGGTACAGGGAGGGAGACAGGAGCAGAAGCAGGGGAGATGACTGGAACTGGCGTCCAGGTGTGATTCCCAGCAGCTAATTGCGCTTGTGGCTTTCAGTCGTTTTTATTCCTCAACATTTTTTGTTGGTGAATAATTTCACTTTCTACTTTTTCTTCCACGCTTTTGATTCACTTCTCTGAACTGACAGCAGCGTCTGGGCTTGGTAATCGGTTGTGCCTGAAACTTGTGCAGGGTCAGGGAATTTCGGAAGGAGGAGTGGTGGGCAGTCTGCAGCAAGGGTAAGTAACCACGCTCCGGTATAAATCTGGGTAGATTTCCCCTTAAGTTTAAAAGGGTAAGTCACCACGGTTTAGTAGAAAATTGTGTGTATTGCTGGGGCATGGCTGTGGTAAGCAACCGTATGAACTCAATGGCATCTTTCGGGCCTTGAACAGCAGTGTTTTCAGCTCCTTCCCTTCTCTCCCCTCTACTCACACCAGGTATCGCCAGGCCAGGGACGTGGCACAAGCGGGGCTGCAGTCAGGACAGCAGCTGGCAGGAGGGGCGGTGCAGCAGGCGAAGCACCTCGTTGCTCCCATCCTCCCAGGCGGGGCAAGTGGCGCGGGTGCAGGAACGGGTGCGAGTGGTGTGACGGGGCGAGAGGGAGGTGCAGAGCGGGAGGAGCGAGGGCAGCAGCTAGGGGTTGGGGTGGTGCAGCAAATGAGGCACCTCGTTGCGCCCATCCTCCCGGGCGGGGCAAGTGGCGCGGGTGGAGGAACAGGTGTGAGTGGTGTGATGGGGCGAGCGACGGGTGAGGAGTGTGAGGCATCTGCATATGAAGCAGGGAAAGAGCGGGTGAAAAGCGCTCTGGAAGGGATCGCAGGAGGAACAAGGAGTGGGACAGGAGTGCGGGCAGGAGGTGAAACGCTGAGATCTCAATCGGGAGCTGGGGGGTATACACCTGGGGTTGAAACCCGCACCTCTGGGACCCCCTCTGCTGGCCCAGGGGCAATCCCTGGGGCAGGACTTGTGACGGGTGTTGCTGACGTGGCACGGCGGGCTGTGGGGACCACAGTGGACACGGCGAGAGGCGCGGCAGGAACAGTAGGAGATACGGCAAGTAGGACGGTGGGAGCGACAACGGAAACTGCTAGGCAGGCGGTGGGAGCGACAACGGAAACAGCGAGAGGTGTGGTTGGGAAGATGGTGGGGATGGGGGAGGAGGTTGCTGGGAGGGGGTATGGAGCGGTAGAGGGGACGGTTGGAGGGGTGGTGGAGGGTGTGAGGCGGATGACTGGGCTGGGTGGGAAGGGGGGAGAGGTGGAAGGGGAGATGGGGAGGGAGAGGATGGGCATGGGAGAGAGTGAAATGAAAGGGGTGAGTAGGGGAGAGGGTGGGAGGGAGGGTGTTATGGGTACAGTGAAGGGCGTTGGGGAGCAAGTGAAACACTTGGTGCTGGGAGGGGAGGAAGGCGGGATGATGGAAGGTGGGGGGACGACTGAAGGGAGGGAGAGGATGGAGCAGATGGAGCGAGAGAGGGAGGAGGAGAGTGCGAGGGAGAGGGGCAGGAAGCAGGCGTATGCGGTTCTGCACGGTGCAGAGGAGTGGGTGGAGGGGACAGTGAGTCGTGTGGCTGGGGTGCTGACTGGGGGGTTGTTGGGGGGAAAGGGGCATGGGGAGAGGGCAGGAGTTGGTGCTGAGGAGATGGGAGGAAGGGAAGGTGGGGAGGGGATGGGGACGAAGATGCAGGGATTGATGCAGGGGAGAGGCATGGGGGGAGGCATGGGGGAAGGTGTGGGGCAAGGCGTGGGGGGAGAGGGAACTGGAGTTACCAGGGGAGGGATGGGTGTAGGGGAGGAAGTTTCTGGGAAGCCTGTGGAGTCGAGCAAGGGAATCTTGGGCAGTGCAGTAGGGGCGGTGCAGACTGTGGTTGGTGGCACTGCTGACGTGGCAAAGCATGCTGCTGAGTCAGCTCTGGGAGCTACCAAGGCTGTGGGGGGAGTAGTGGTGGGAGCAGGGGGGAGTGCGCTGGGAATGGGGCAGAGGGGGGTGCAGCAGGGGGTTGAAGGGGTGGGGAGTGGTGTTCAGTATGGGAGGGAGAGCCTGGAGAAGGGGTATGAGGGGGCGAAGCAGGGTGTAACAGCAGGGTATGAAGGGGTGACTGGGGGTGTCACAGGGTTGGTGGAACGGGCGAAGCATCTGGTGGGGCTGGGCGGGGTACAGGGTCAAGGGGGAGAGGAGGCTGGAGGGGAAGGAACAGGTGAGATGATGGGCAAGACGATGGGTGAGGGGAGCGGTGAGGGAAGGGGTGAGGAGGGAATGGGCGGAAGTATGTGGGAGACAATGGGAGTGAGGGGAGGGGAGAGGGAGGAGGAGAGTTCTGCAGAGAAGGGCAGGCATGCAGTGCTGTCGGTGCTGGAAGGAGCTGAGAGGAGGGCGCTGGGTGCTGTGAGCACGGTTACTGGAGGGTTCATTGGTGGGGGAGGGGTTGAGTACGCAGAGGCTGAGCGAGCCTCTGCTACTGGTGCTGGTAGTGTTACCACTGGTGCTGGTGCTGGTGCTGGTGCTGGTGCTGGGGGTGGGGGCGTGGCAAGGCAGCAGGCAGCAGCAGGGATGCCTGTGTCTGCAGCAGGGGAGGGGGAGGCTAGTGCAGTGGTGTCTGGGCCAGGAGGGAAGGTGGCAGCAGTGGGAACATCCGAAGCAGTGGAGGAGGCAGCACGGCCAGTCATGGAGCCAGGCGCGTGAGGTGACTATAACGACGGGGTGGGGATGGAGATGGGGAAAGCGTGATAGGTGTTCTTTCCTGTTATTGGTTTTCTGTTGTGAAGGTTCTAACTTTGCCGGGCTGATTTGTCTGTTCATAAATCCACACCACAGGGTTATGGTGGTCTGCTACAGGGAATTTCAAATCCCTCTCCAGCCACCTGTAAGACCAGGCTGAAGGACATCACATCTGCAGAGCTGAATGGTGTAGTGTACATTTGTATGTTTTGTTGTATCTAGTTTGCTGGTGGCTTTTGTGTTTCCAGTTTTCTTAGCAACGAAGTGTTGTGTGCTGAAATGTTATTGAATGTGAATAAAAGCCAAAGTGAACATATTTCTTTGCCATAGCAGCAACAATGAGTGATTTGTTGGGCTGAGAAAAACCCTTGGGATCGTTTTCAAGACTAAAATCTCAGAGTAGTGATGTATTAGCGAAAGCGTGATAGTGAACTGATTGAACCACCTTGCACATATAAGTTAATAATAGCAAAGGGATACAAGTTGTTATATGATTACAAGGAATATGAAAGGTTTAACTTAACTATAACTGCTCTTGCGGTTCGAGTCAGCCACGACTCGGATAAATGCTCAGTATCGAGTCAGTTATGTGTCCTTGCTGTCGCGCTGCTTTTTGGTGAGTCAAAAGTCGCTGACCTTTGACCTTCACTTATCTTCTTGCTGTTGTCTTTCTGTCAACCGCTTCGGTTAACTCGCTGTTACTTCGCTGTAGTTCGATTCGCTTACGTTGTAGTACTCGACACATCAAAAGCGCGAACTATATGTTTCCAACACTCCCCTTCGCTTCTGCAGTGTCGTCGCCTTCGTTGCTGGTGACGTGGCCTTGTCCAGTCAGCAGCATGCAATACTCGAAATTATGCTTTCCGAGTTTCTTGGTCAAGTAGTCTGCTGCCATCTCGGACGTGGGACAGTAGGATAGCTCGAGTCTTCCTTTCTCGATCTCGTCCTTCACGAAGAAATAGCGCATCGTTCGGTTCGCGAACCCACTCTTGTTCGCTATGCGAACTGCTGATTGGTTGTCGCAGAAGAGGGAGAAGCTGGGTAACTGTGCCAGCTTTGCTTCTTCCAGTAGTTCGCGAAGGTACAGTCCTTCCTTGGTGGCTGAGCAGAGTGCTATGTATGTCAGAATAGCAGCGAGAAAGTTAGAACAAGAGAAGAGGGTTGCACTAGCAACAGTTGGCATACAAATAGGAAACCCTAATTGGGTTGTACTCACTACAGAGTACCCCACTGCAGACTAGACAGCAAACACATTCTGACACACCCCCATAGTCAAAGTGGGGTATAATCAGCACAGCAAGCAGTCATAGAGCAGGTTCACAAGTACAAGCAAAGCTAGAGGCAGTCACAGAGGGCAAGTGAGGAGGAGGAGGGACTGTGAGAGGAGAGGAGATGGGAGGCGACGGCGGAAGCTGCAGACACACGGGAGCGGCTGGCTCAGTGGCTACCGAAGCAATGGCCCGGACTTCAGGAGTAACTGGCTCCGCGGCTACGCCGAGCGGCTGGAGAAACTGACCCACGGGCGACTGGCGACTATCGGAGATTGTAGCCTCCGGACTACTGGCGCTGCTGGCGACCCGACGGCTACCTCCGCTCAACCTCCCCCAACTGTCCCACCCCCCTTTCACACACCCCTTGCTGCACCCCTAGCTCCACTCCCACGTCACCCCCCTCACGCCACTCCCTCGGCTCCCACACACCCACCCCCCTCAGCGGCAGCTGCAGCAGTGGGAGACGGAGGAGGAGGAGGAGCAGGGGACGGCTCACACACCCGCCACCCCCATACCCGCCACCCCCATACCCCAAACGCAGGGCAGAAACGCGGGCAGCAGCTGGGGCGGCGTGGGAGCGGAAGCGGGGCGGCGCGCCGGCCCCCAGGGCGCCTCGACGAGCGACGGGAGGGGGCGACGCGCGGGCCCCCAGGGCGCCGCGACGGGAGGGGCGACGCGCTGGCCCCCAGGGCGCCGCGACGGGCGACGGGCAGGGCGACGCGCGGCCCCCCAGGGTGCCGCGACGGGCGATGGGCAGGGCGGCGCGCGGGCCCCCAGGGAGCCGCGACGGGCGACGGGAAGGGGGGGGGGGGGGGCGACGCACGGGCCCCCAGGGCTCTGCGTCGGGCGACGGGCAGGGCGACGCGCGGCCCCCCAGGGCGCCGCGACGGGCGACGGGAGGGGGGGGGGGGGGGACGCGCGGGCCCCCAGGGCGCCTCGACGGGCAGGGCAGCGCGTGGGCCCCCGGGGCGCCGCGTGAGGCAGTAAACCGCCGCGCGACTCGGGGTGCACGGCGGGCAGAAAACCGCCGCGCGCCTCGAGCGCGCGGCGGGCAGAAAACTGCCATGCGCCCCGAGCGCGTGGCGGGAAGAAAAAACGTCGCGCGCCATGGGGTGCGCGACAGACAGGACAGCAGCGGAAGCAGGTGGGCCCACAGGCCAGGAGCAATCTCGCTCTGATAGCATGTCAGAATAGCAGCGAGAAAGTTAGAACAAGAGAAGAGGGTTGCACTAGCAACAGTTGGGATACAAATAGGAAACCCTAATTGGGTTGTACTCACTACAGAGTACCCCATTGCAGACTAGACAGCAAACACATTCTGACAATGTATTCAGCTTCAGCAAAGGAGAGAGCAATTAGTTCTTGCTTACTCGACTGCCACGAAATAGGACCGATGGGCTCGAGTCGGTAGATATAGCCGGTGTGCGATTGTTTGTTGTTGGAGTCACTAGCGTGGTCAGCATCCACGTAGCCGATTAGTTTTGGCGTCGTCGTTCCGGTTTTGTGGTAGGTTAAGCCGACTGTCGGTGTGCTGACAAGGTAGTGCAGTGCGCGATCAAGTTCCGCCATATGCTCTGCTTCGGGCTTCTTGAGGTAGGTGGCGAGTTGGCTTGCTGAGTACGATAGATCCAATCGGCAGGTAACGGCTGCGAAGAGTAGGCAGCCCAGTTTTCGTTGGTAGTCGCGTAGTCCGGCAGGTCCGAGCGGATTATATTTTTCCTGATGATTTCCGGCGGTGTAGCGGTAGGGCGTGGAGATGGCGGCTGGAGTTAATCCAAAGCGTTTGGCGATTGTGTCGACGTATTTTGCGGCGCTGAGGTAGATCGCGTTCTCTCCATTGAGTATGTTGAGTCTAAGGTACTGAGTTACGGTAGTGGAGACGGTGAGTGTGAGGTCCCGCTGCAGCTCCCCTTCAAACCAGTTAGTGATGTCGTCGGTGGAGCCTATGTAGAGTAGGTCGTCTACATACATGATGAGTAGGGTGTAGTCAGCGCCCTTTGTGAGTCGGTACATTCCTTGATCGTGTGGTAGTTGCTGAAAGCCGATGCGGATTAGTCGGGCGTGTAGGTACTGCTGCCACAGCCGCGGAGCTTGCTTGATGCCGTACAAGGATTTCACCAGCTGACAGACTTGATTAGGGTCTGTGTCGGATCCGTGTGGTTGCTCGACGAAGATTTCGGCGTCGACGAGAGCGTAGAGAAATGCGTTAGCCACGTCGATTTGGAGGAGCTTCTTCCGCTTCCTGGCGGCTATTGCGAGAAGGATTCGCAGAGAGGTATGTCGGCTGACCGGCGCGAAGGTCTCGGTGAAATCTCGTCCGTGCTCTTGATCGAAGCCGCGCACGACCCATCGTGCCTTGATCTTATCAATTGTTCCATCAGCTTTCGTCTTCACGCGGAAGACCCACTTTCCCGTGAGGATAGTTTTGTTGCGTGCCACTCCGATGGGTACTATCTTCCAGGTGTTTCTGTCTTCCAGCGCCTTTAATTCCCTGTCCATGGCTTCGCGCCATTTTTCACTGTGCTCCCCCCCCAGAGCCTGCTGAACTGTGGCAGGCTCCTTTGGCGGCGATGCTCCGTGGACGGCGGTGACGAGTCCAAGTATCTGCAGCCCACTCTGTGTGTAGCGAGGGAGATTTGGGTCCTCGGGATAGACTGCTTCGTCTCCCGCTTCTGGATCAGGTAAGAAGTTGGGGCCTATGCGTTCTGAAACGTTGGTGTTGACCGGCTGGGGTGTAACGTAACCATTGTCGGTGAAGTCGTAGTAGACTTCAGCGTTGATGCTTTCGCGAGGATTTTCGTTGTCCATCGGGACAGGTACCGAGCAGTAAGGAAGTGGTCCGGATTCCTCAGATGCTCCGTCCACGTTTTGCTCATCCCAGTCAGCCTCATCTGCTGGTGTGGCAAAGGCTCGGTTGCCACGGAAGCCGCCCGCAAGGTCTCGTTCTGCTGCCAAGTTGTCCAGGTACGTGTGGAGAGTGAGTCGCTCGTAGAAGATCACATCACGTGCTGCTACTGTTTCCTTCGAGTGGACATCGAAGATTTTCCACGTATTGTAATGCGTTTCGATGCCCACTGTGCGCGTTGTGAGAATCTTCCGGCTCGTGCAGTGTGTGGTCGGTACTGTACCATGCAGCCAAAAACCCGTAACATTTTTGTGTTGCCCAATTTTCCTGTCCACAGCAGATGCGGTGATGCGTTGTTCGGAAGCGAGGATGACGAAAGCAAGGTGTGCAACAGCACGGCGTGGTCCATCGCTTCTGGCTATTGATGGTTGGGTAGCCGCATGCCACGTAGCAGCTTGCGCATGGTGTTCTGGAGAGTCCTGTTCATTCTTTCTGCCACGCCTTGCTGCTGATGAGCGTAGGGAAGAGAGATGAGTCGCTTGATGCCTCTCTCCGCCAGGTACTGCTTGAACCGCTGTGACTGATATTCTCCTCCTCCGTCTGACTGAAAACTTTTCAGCTTTACTCCGGATTCCCTTTCTGCTACTGGAAGCCATGCGACGAAGGCTTCGAAGGCCATGTCGCGACTCGGAAGATTGAGGTGCCAGACGTATCTGGTGGCGGCGTCGATGAAGGTGATGACGTAGTTGTAGGCTCCTTGTCCGCTTTCGCGGGCGTACACTATGTCGCTGTAAACCTTCTCCAGTGGTGCGTAGGTTGGCACGCTTGGGTTGTGGTGAGAGACAAAC